GAGCAGGGGAACCCGGACGCCCTGGAAGCCTGCGTGCCTAGCCCGGCCCAGGCCGCTGTGCTCGGCTGGACTGGCTGCACAGGGCAAAACTGCAGGCTGGGCTGCAGTTCGCGTGAACAGCGCCCCCTGCGGCTGTGCTGGGCAGGGTCGCCGAGGGAGGCACCATCGGAAGGCTGAGGCCTCCTCGCTGAATGTCCCACCTTCTCCAGAAGAAAAACCTCCCAGGCCAGAATCTCCCCTTGGCTGCTGCATCAGCCCTCCACCTGGTGAGTTCTCAAAAGGGCAAAACTTATCAACGCAGCCGGACTTGGTTCCCTCCCTATCTGAGAGTCCTGTTTCATGCACCTGCCCGGAGAACGTGCCAGGAAAACTGAAAGGCCGTGGTGGCCCCGGACACCACAGCGGCGAAGGTGTGAACCCCTGCGACTGTACTCGGGAGGTGGGGGGGACCCCTGCGCGGAGCCGAGTTAGTGACCCCGCCGGTATCTGCTGTCGGGCGTAGGCAGTGCGTCACCATTCATACTGAGGAACCTCTAACTGTGGCTGATTTTGGAGCTTTGGTATGCATAGCACAACCGTGATACAAACAAAATTTTAATACATCGACGAAGTCCAAACAAGCAAGGAAACGGTGAGATAAACACAGAGAGAATTTGAGGCCAAAGGAATCAGTAAAAGCTAGAAATCACTCCAGGTCAAGAGAATGTCAGACCCAAATGTAGACCCCAGAGGCTGGAGGCTGAAATTCCACAACATGATGGCAAAGTCAATCTGGGTACGCACCTGACTCCATAATAATGTATCAACACCAATGTATGAGTTGTGATAAATGTAACAAGAGAGAAAACTGGGTTTGAGCTGTACAGACACTCTGTATGGTATTCTGGCCACTTTTCTGTAAAGCTGAAACTTCTAAAGTGAGAAGTTTACTGAAAAAAAATGAACTTTTGAAGAAGTAAAAAATACAAGTGTAAAACTATAAAGTGACAGCAATACTGACTGTAGGTCTCTTAAATCAAAACCATTGCGGGTGGATATTGGACGTTGTTATTTCTTTTTAGATGAAAAGGCATTTTTATTTTAATATATAACGTATTAGTGAATATACCTGATTGCAGGCACAGCAATTTTTTAAATTGCCCGAGAAAGAGAGAGGCAGAGACAGACAGAGGCACAGGACAGGGAGAAAGAGGGACATTGTAGGTGTTGGGGACTACATTGTACCCCCTCTCCCCAAATTGAAGCTCTAACCTTCAGTGTGACTGTATTTGGGAGGCAGGGCTTTTAGGAAGGCAGTTAAAATCAAACGAGGTCATAAGCTAATCATTTTGCTCACGGAGTCAGAAAAAGAACAACAAACATTTAAAAAGTGGAAAGAAGGAAATAAAAACAAGAACAGAATTAGGTGTAATTGCAAACAAAGGCACACTGTATGTAGAGAGAGGACTGTTAATAAAAATGACAGCAGAACTGTGGCTGACAGACAAGAAAACTATGAAAAGAATGTAGAACCCAATCAGGCAGAAAAAAAAAGATAAGATAAATTGAAGCCAATCAAGTGGACAAGGAAATTAGGCGTTTTCCAGCTAGGGATGCAGAATTTCATTTTCCTAAATCAGGTGATTAAACGGTGGAAAGAGGTTACAATTAAAATTGGTGCCCCAGGAACAAGTGAGGTGCTTGTTTACAAATCTCAGCCCCCCCGAGAGGATTGGGGTGGGCCTGCCGGTGGCTGCCGCTCCCCTGGCAGGGACCCGGGTCAGTTCTAAGAAAGAGTGAGCATGTGCCTGTCTGTGACTCACGTAGACTTGGCCCAAACAGAAGTTCTGAGGACTCTAGACAGCTCTTATTTTCATGGGTTTTAGCTCTTGATAATGAATGCATTAGAATTCATAGCTAGAATTCAAAGATATTTTAGTCATTTAAATGCCAGGGCCCAGCCTCGGCAGGGTCTTGGGGTCCCTGAAGTATGCACGGCTCAGGCGAAGTGAATGAAGCAAGACGCCCGGTGGGGTGCCAGAGGACAGCCAGGCTTTTTGGGCCCGACTGACTTACCGAGAAGAATCCATCTTTAATTTTATAGGGGAGGCTAGACAACATTCAATGCATAGTGTGATTATTAAAACAGAAACGGTTACCATAGGAATAATTTTGAAAAGTACAGAAGGTTTTACAGATCAATCATGTTAAACAAAGGTTATTTTGACCAAGAGGATTATCAATCAGATAGCCAATGAAGCTATACGGGCACAAACTTTCAGGTGCCAATTAGCAGCTTGGTGTCCATTAAGATTCTAGGGATTGGTCTAAATTAAAAAGGTTGCAAGGGGTAATTTATAGGTTATATGGAAAATAGCTATTGTCCGCTGAGGTTAGATTTGTCTCAGTTAGGTACTTTGTTTTTTGCCTAGGTTTTTTTAATTTATACATCTTGGTGGGGGCCATGTTTTGTGTTCATTTCCATGTATTGAGATTATTATTTTCAACTAGAACTCCTTGCTTCTTTACACTCCTGTCCAGGGTATGGGAGGGGTAGTGGCTCTAATAAATCTTAAGCTTTCAAGTGGTGACTCCCTAAGAAACATTCCTAGCAACAGCTTCCTTCAGCGTGCTGGCAGTTGGTCTGCCCATAGTTTAAGTTTGTCCTTAACTTCCCAGGTGGGGGAAGCAGGCAGCATGAGGGTTGCTAGGGGTCTCTATTCTGTGGTCAGCAAGTCATTTCATGCAGAATCAGAGGCATCGTGCAGAGTTTTTGTTATAACACACAGGTATCTAAAAATCCCACCACCTATTGTATTGCTAACAGGGACAGGCATACAGGAAGAGGTAGACAGGAGATCCGGCCGCAGTCGCCTCTGCTGTGCAGACGTGTCTCATCCATCCCGACTGTGTCAAAGGTCAGCTGTTGGTCGGCTCCCGACATTTAAAAATACTAAGAATTAATCCAATACATTGTTCACACACACACAAAAAAGCAAAATGAGAATGATCCAAATACTCTCAAATACTGAAAAGCCCAAGTGCACTGTGGTTTATTTATATAATAGAATACAATATAGCTTATTTTTAAAATTTTTTACTTATTTATTTTTAGAGAGGGGGGGAAAGGAGGAAGAAAGAAAAGGAGAGAAACATCCACCAGTCACCTCTTACACGCTCTCAATTAGGGGACCCAGCTAGCAACCCAGGCTTGTGCCCTGACTGGGAACCAAACCCTGGGCCCTTTGATTCCAAGGCTGCTGCTCAGCCCACTAAGCCACAGCAGCCAGGGCCAACATAGCTTATTTGTGACTAACTCTATAGATAACAAGATGTTACCAGCACATCTCAGGGTTAAAAAATAACCTTTTGAATGAAAAAGGCAAGTAACAAAGAAATAGAAAGTACAATGGCATTTATGTAAATTAAGGCAGGGAAAGCTAATTGGTAAAAAAAATAATTGAATGCCAGGTTCAATTTGGACCTGTTTCAGTAGGCAGTGAGAGCTCATTATCGAATGGATGAGTCATCAAAAGATTTTGAGCAGGAAACCCACACTTTGGCCATGAAAATCAGTAAAGCAGCTTCATGCAGAAGTCAGGGGGCTGGTGCCCTTGCATGCAGGGGGGCGGGGGGATACCTCTTTATTTTCAGGCAATGGAAAATCTCCCTAATGAGTGAAGTCAGCAAAGCTCAACGGTATTGGCCGGACCTGTGCCTGTCACCCAGTGTCATCCCAGATCTTTCCTATCACCTGCTAGTTATGGGAAATGCCTTTGAATATCTTTTACACCCATCGCAGCATTACATCTGCCGCTAGAGCGCCTTGCTTAGTGACAATAAAGAAGCACATAGGTATTACCTCACAAATTCGATTTTTAAGACTTTTTGAAAATGCACGCACACCTAGGCGCATGCGCACACCCCCGCCCTAGCCCGGAGCCCACCCCTCTGAGCTCAGAGGCTCCCAGGCCTATCTCCCTAGGGAGGGCGCGCAGGCCCAGGACACAGCAGGGACCTCAGCTCCTTCTTCCAGACAAGCAGGAGCCACGAAGAGGAGCGGGCCCACAGAAGCCAGGGTAGGCCTCTTGCTGGGATTATTGCAGGGATCCCCGGGGTCACCGGGGGAGGGCGGTGAACAGACTCCGGGGCCGTTGAATCTCTGCAGCCCCCCACCCACGCTGCCCTTCCGTCACTTTTCCTGTTTGGCCTCTTTCAGGCAATGCCTGTCCTAATTGTTGGCTTCATGCCACCTGTCTAAAATCGGAGAGGGGACAGCTTTGCTCAGTAGCCAGTGAGCCTGTCCCCCGGCCCAGCCGGGGCAGGTCTGCTAAAATACAGAGTGGGCAAAAGTAGGTTTATAGCTGGGGGTATGCGAAACCCAGAGTTTATTCTTGTGCTCTTATTTATTAATTGTTGTATTGTTCGGTTGCATTGTTTACTCTTATCATTGTTAGGACTTCGAATCCTGAGTTAGGATTTGTCGTTTAGGTAATGATGACTGGCACATGAAGCTGCTTCTGCCCACCCTTGTGTGTGAGAAGGAATGTCTCGGCATTAATCTGCGCTTTTGGCCCGGGTGACCCAAGGGCCAGGCTGCTCCCGGGCCTCGCCCTCAACTTGACAGGTCTGGATCGGTCTGCAGTCCTTGGAAAGTTGGGACACAGGGCTCACCTGTGGGGGCGCCTACAGAGTGTCCTGCCTCTGTTCCGCCCCGCCCCCATGTCCCCTTCTACTTAGGCTTCGGGTGCAGATGAAGGAAAGTGGAAGAGAAATAAAAGCGTTCTGGCCCAGGCAGAGGAAAGAGCGGGGACAGGCAGGCAGTGGACACCTCCCCCACTTCCCCAGTATAGGCCCCAGGGGGATCAGGGCTGGGGGGCCAGGGGCCTCTCAAGCCCCACACTTTCCTATTTCAGACTCAGGTGGTAGACGAGTGAACCACAAGAGCGAACGTGAAGAGGTACTCAGCCCTGACCCGGCCAAGGGGGCGGTCCCGGTCGCCGCCGCAGGCTCCGCCCCGCCTCCCCGGCGCCTCCGCCGTAGCCTCCTGCACGCTGTCCGCCGGCTGCCACTGCGGCAGCTCTCCGGTCGCCTTCCTCGCGTCGGCGTCCGCGCGCAGGTGAGGACTGGGAATCCCGCGTCCGATCCGTTGGAGAAGGAACGGGAAGCTTCGTGAGGTTGAGAGCTGGGAGGAAAGGAAATGGAATCAGATTCCGCAGAGGGCCGGAAGGGGGGACCGAGGGACGCGAACCCCAAATCTTTGGCGGCGAAGGAGGTGGTCCCTGCCCTGCCGGGAGAGGTGGACGGGTCTTTCCCGAGCGCCCCTGCGGGGTCTGGCGAGGTGGGCGCTTAGATGCTTGTGGCTGCGTGGGGACCGGGGCCTCCCGGGTCCTGGGGCGCTGGCTCCCGGGACCCCAAACCCGCTCGTAATTGTTTCCAGCCAGGAGCTAAAGATACCCCTCTGGGGCTTGGAAAGGCGGCCCCAGGCTCGCGGGCCACGACCACACGCAGAAACCTTCCTTGCTTGTGTGCTTTGGAGAAATCCCTGCCTGAGCCCTGTGTGTGTTAGTAAGGGCTGGGAGATCTCTTCCTCCCAGGGTGCTGCGTGCAGGTGGAAAATTCTGTGGGAAAACCTAGGCTGATTTGTGAATATTTATTTTTCAATGTAAAATTTCAGCACGCCCGTTTCTCTCCTTTCTCTCGCCTTTGGGGAGGTGGCTCTGGAATTTAAGCCCCAGCTTTGGGTCTTTCTCTGAAGTTCTAGGCGCCTTGGACACACATCGTCATTCCGTGCTCTCTCAACCGCAGCTGGGCGAAGAGATGTTCAGTGTCCTGACTCGCCAGCCTTGTGAGCAAGCAGGTAAGTATCTATCTCAGCGGGCAGCCAGTGCGATTTTCTCAAATCACAGGAGAATCCCAGCTTTAGCTCCCGGTTTCTCACCCCGTCCCCTGCAAATGACTGTTGAACGTCTCTACTCAGTTGCTCACCGGCTTTCCCCACAGGCATTCCTCGTAGGAAAGTAATGCTTTTCATCAAAGCTACACTAAACAAGGACTAACATGCATGTTTCGATTAAATTGTTTTTCCGGTTTGCATAATCCATTAATTTGGCCCTTGTGGTTTCCCTTACCCAGCAGCGGGTGAGGTTGGCTTTAGAACAGTGTTGATTTTTGTGATGAACTTTAAAGCACCTGGATCTTCCCTCTATTTCCATTCAAGCGTTGCTGCTGGCACAGCACCTGCAGCCTCCCACGACCCCCACCCCCACCAGGGGTCAGCATCGTGGCACTGGTGCAGGACTCACACGCATGCACACACACGCACACACACACACACACACACACTCTTCCTCTGCCTGCCTCTGGAGCACTGTTTGCGGTTGCTCATGTGAAAACCCAGAAGCCTCTCCACTCTGAGGTAGGCACTTTGTAATTACAGTGTTTGTCCGCCCTAATGATATCACGCTCTAGGCCCTGTTCCCTAGCTGAGTCCTGGGCTAGTCCGTTTTGCTTTGCGATAGATTTTTCTGCTGGAGCAAGGATTTGCTTAAGTTAAGCATAGTTTATTTTCTTTTTTCTTTTACCTAAAAACTGCTGAAGCTCAGAGGACTTGGGAGGCCAGCCGGTGGCTGTGGTTAGGAGCCTGCTTACATATCAACCCGCATCCCTCCTGTGGACAGATGTTCTTTTTTTCTTTAAGATTTTTATTTATTTACTTTTAGAGAGAGGGGAAGGGAAAGGGAAAGAGAGGGAGAGGAACATCAGTCTCTTGCATGCCCACAACCTAGGCATGTACCCACACTGGGAATCGAACCAGCAACCTCTGGCTTGCAGGGCGATCAATGTCCAATCCACTGGGCCACACCTGTCAAGGCTGGGGAGATGTTCTTTAGTTTTGCCCCTAAACTGGGCCTTTTTCTTTTCCAAAAGGATATGATTTTAGGATAGTGGGGGCAATTTATACCAATCTTTTATTTTTTTTTAAGGGAAGTTGTGCCTAAGGAGCTGATTTACTTTGGTTTTCAGGTTTTCCCCAAAACGCTTTGGAATTTTAACATATATATATGGTAACATCACACATGCAGACTCTTGTTACACTCCTCCCAAAGGACAAGTTCAACCTGGCAGATTAAATCTCTGCTGTGTCCTGTTAGGGGAAAAAAAAAACCCTTAAACTGACACTGCCGTATGGATTCTTCAACAGCTGATACCAGCGTTTGCCTCTGCGGACAAACTGGTTCCTGGTGGGTTCACATGCTTTTTTCCCGAATCACAGATAAGTGATCCAGGACCCCTTCAGAGACTCTTAAGGTCAACTCCGTGGTGGGTGGCCCCGCCTTCAGTTGCTACCACAAAGGAGTCGTGGACAATGAGTCACTTTGTGTCATTTTACACAGTCGGGGCTCCTTCTGTGCAGGCAGTCCCCAGAGCTGGGAGTGCCAGTAGTCAGTGTGACCACTGCAGTCATGGTCAGTGAGGGTTGACACAGTGCCGTCCATCGGTGCCGTGTCAGTGTCCACTCCCAGCCACAAGGTAGAGGCATCGGGGTGTTACATGACCGCCACCTCTGACGGCAGGAAGTGCGCGTGGCAGCATCTGCACAGCAGGGGCATCAGATGGGGCGGAAAGAAATGTCATTGTCCCACGTGGGTCCATGAAGACCTAAGCCAATATTTGCTCGTAATCATCCAGTTGAGCGACATCCGTTTAAGTTGAATAAGGAGACCTGGTTCACTATAGTCATGAGGTATTACTGCAAAATGTAATATGTACATACGGTACATATTATTATACAATACGTGCAGAATTATATCATTATCTTTATTCAGAGCCCATCTAGTTAAGAGTGTTCGTGTGCTTTCATTTACTTATTTATTTATTTAGCTTTTAAATGGGTGAATATCACTGCCATGTTATGATTAAAATGCAAATACCAGAGATTACACGGCTCCTTTTGGATGGGACGTGCGGCCTGGGGTCCAGTTAGTCTTGGTTAGGGAAGATGCAGGTGGCCTGGAGCCGTCACTGCAGCCACAGGACACTCGCCCGAGGGCGGGTTCTTCTGGGAACCAGACACTTGAGAAATGTGGGCATGTTATCATTCGCTCTACAGGAAGTCATCACGTAGTGAGTCATGGCTTATGTCTGAGGTAGAGTACCAATTTCTTTTCATTCATCTGAGATTATTTTAAAAGGTTCTATTCACTCATTTTTAGGGGGGAGGGAAGGGAAAGAGAAAGAGGGAGAGAACATCAATGTGCAGTTGCCTCTTGGGCGCCCCCTACTGGTGACCTGGCCCAGTCACATGCCCTGATTGGGAATCAAACTGGCGACTTTTTGGTTCACAGGCCCACACTCAACCCACTGAGCTACACCAGCCAGGGCCTGAGATTATTTTTAAATGAAATAATACCTTTAATAGAAAACCCATATTTTTGTAATCTCCATGAAAACCAATGTTGTAAATTATCTCAGGGACAACCAGTAATACACATAACATACTTTGAGAAATACCAGACAACTAAACTACACATACCTAACAACTAATATAATACAGTATAAGACTAATATATATAAAAATACATTTAAAATTAATACATGTAAAATATGTATAAAACGAATATAAATAAAAATAATGTGATGCTATATGAAACTACCAGGAAACTGTATAAAACTAATAGATATAAATATATATAAAACTAACATATGTTAAAAATATAAAAAGCTAAACAATGTAAAACTAATATAATACTATATAAAACTAAACGCCTAAGAACTGACACTGTGCAAACATGGTTTAGTCCAGTCTTTGGAGGAAAGATAAGTGGGCATCAGAGCCCAATTTCTTCTGCATCTTAGAAGCGTGGGTCTCACTAAAGCCAGAGGCGGGGGCTCCTCACGTGGGTCTGCACCCGGCCCCTGGACCCTACGAAGAAGGCACGTGCCCTGTTCCCACTGCCCCCTCCTGAGTCTTCTGGGTCTCCTTCCCGTTTTAGGCCTCAAGGCTCTCTCCCGAACTCCGGTCATCGTCGCCTTGGTGGTCTTGCTTTTGAGCGTCGTGGTCCTGGTGACCGTCACACTCATCCAGACTCACCACAAAGAGGTCCTTCTTCCAGGGCTGAAGGTCAGTGTGAAGGGACTGGTGTTGGAGGGGAGAGGCGGGCTCTGGCATCGACTATCGTGAAGCCGTGAGTGAGGAGAGAAGGAGAGCATTTTCCCCACCTACCGAGGGAGGTCCTGGCCGGTGACAGGAGGGCCTGACCCCCTCTGCTCAGGAGGGAAGAGGAGGGAATGGATGCAGATGCAGGAGAGTTTGTTGAATTGGGGGAGGAGAGTACCCTACAAGTTAGGGGGAAGGCTAGTACCACTTAGACCCCAGGAACTGGGGCCCCTGCCCTGAGCCCCGTATTTCAGAAGGGCCACCTTTAGCTTGCACTCCAGGTTTACGTCCCTTTGTGGGACATAAAGAGAACCTACCCATCCAAAGCCATGCTTCTCCTTCCAGAATATGCTATGGTGCCTGGGACTGCAGAATCCAGGGTCTGTACCACCGGCGTGAGGGGAGGCAAAGGGGCAGCTGCCTGCAGGGAGGGTGGACAGAGCACGGACATGGGGGCCGAGCTGTCCTGCTGTCTGCAGTCCATATACAGGTGCATGAGGCTCTCAACCCCATGACGCTGCCGGGGCAGGAAGAGCACAGGTGGATGGAGAGGGCAGGGCAAAGCCTTCACCTCTAAAGTCGTCCCTCAGGCCCTCCGAGTGAGGCTGGTTAAGGCCATTGCCAACTGCTGCCTTGCACTCCTCCTGGGAGGTAAGAGGGAAGTCCTCTGTTCCTGCTGGAGCAACTGGAGGAGGAACCCGAGTGGAAAAAAGCAGATCCTGAGGCAGGTGCAGGACACAGTTGAAGGAGGTGCCCGCCCGTGTGTGATGCTACTGTTTCAGGTGGATTCCCCTAACTAAGACGTGAGTGCAAGTAGGTCACCTGAGGATGGCCCAGGAAGCACAGGCAGGGGATGGGGAGGGGAGGGAAGAGGGAGGGCAGCCGTAGAGGGCCTGCTACTCAGCTGGTTGCCCCGGTGGGCACCTCAGTCCGGCTGGGGATGCCGGGAAGTCATGCAGAGCTCGCTTCAGGGCTGCCCTCTGCCGAGTGGCCTAGAAACACCTGCCTCCCAGCTGTCCCACCAGAGGGTGTGTTTACACACCAACTGCCGTCAGTCGTCAGGTGAGAGATGCTCCCTGGGAACATTAACTCTGGCATTTCTGGCGTATCGTGTCCTCGGGTGGGCGCAGGCCGCTGGAGAAAGCCTCCAGGCAGGTGGAAAGTGAACGGCTGGACATTACGTGGTAAGGCCTGAGGGACAGCGGGCAGGGAACCCTCAGCGACAGTTTCATGCAGGTACAATTATTGCCACCCCCCATTGTGCAGAGGAAGGGACAGAAGGGCCAGTGGCTTCCCACGGGCACACAGGTAGAGCAGGTATAGATGGGTATAGAAGGAAGAAAGGAGCAGAGAATGTTGGCCCCAAGTAAGCATTTGGAAGGACAGGACCACACACCGTCTCCGAGTGGCACACAGTCGAAGACAGGCTCTGGCGTCTCTGCAGGGCCGTGCCGTCAGACCCCGGTCACGGCTGCAGGGGGCAGGCGTGGTCTAGCAGTGGGTATCGGCTCACAGCGCCCTTCCGCCTCACTGGGTGGATTCCTGTGAGAGAGGACAGACGTTGCCCCGCCTGGTGTGGCTTGGGGGTTGGGTGTCGTCCCTCCAACTGAAAGGTCACTGGTTCAATTCCCAGTCAGAGCACATGCCTGGGTTGCAGGCCGGGTCCCCAGTTGGGACACGTGTGAGAGGCAACCAATGGATCTTTCTCTCGCACATCGATGTTTCTCTCCCTCTCTTCTCCCTCTCTTTCTCCCTCCCTCCCCTCTCTCTACAATACATAAAATGAAAAAGAAAGAAAGAAAAGGCAGATGTTCCGGGCCAGCTGGACCAGGAGGAGGAGGACAGCCTTGGAAGGGAAGGCTGCCCGTGGGGCTCTCCTCGGGGTGTTGAGAGACCCCTTTCCCGGCGCAGCATGTGCCGGGGCAGGCAGGGCGGCGGTGGGGTGCGGCTGAGTGGTCACCAGGGCTTTTCCGTGGTCTCGTTTGTGTTTTCATGCATCGAGCTCTGTTTTATTTTGCGTGTGCCTCACAGTTGGTTATGAGCCCCGCTCTGAGGGACCCTGGGGTGTTCCCCAAGACCCTTGTGAAAGGTCATGATATCTGGCAATTAAATCCAACCGGGGCTTGCCTACCCTTGGTTCATCTGAGTTTAAAAGCAAATTGATAAAACTTAGTCGGGGTCCAAATGTCCCCTTGTCATTGTCCCTGGTCTGCCCTGCTCTACGAGCCGGAAGTGTAAACACGATGGCACGCTTTGGCTTCTCGCCGAGGCCCCCACTTGCTTATCATCATCACGTCCAACACCTCCCTCCTCCCGAGGCTTCACTGTCCCCACCTCCAGCCAACGACTGTCCGGAGGCCCCGCAGTTTCTCCATCCAGTATGACCAAGGCCGCATTGCCGCTGCCCACGCAGCCTCAGGGGTGGCTGCGGAAGAGGGCGGGGCCTGCATAGACTCGGGGCTTCCAGGGCGCAGCTCCTCTGGGGCGACCTGTGCAGGTCACATTCGGTCCCCACGTGGGGTCACTCTCCCGTGCTCGGCCATTCCTCTCCAGAGTGCGGCCGCTGGGCCCAGCTGTGTTGAAACTGTTCCCTTTGAATGCTTGTCAGGTGGGGCCATCGCTGGGGTCTCTGATGTCTGTGGCCCACTCAGCTTGCCTGCAGACCCCGCAGGCCCGCCCCTCCGAGAGCGAGAGTTGGGCAGTCGATTTCTCCCTTTCCAGAAAGCCCTGGCCCCTTGCTCAGCTGGGACCGCCTTCTCTCCAGCCAGATCTGCACACCACGCGACCACGAGCTTAGCTTTCGAGGGGCTTTGTGTCTGCACAAAGCCAGTCTGTCGGGCCACCTCCGGCGCCTTCTTTACTAGACGATCGGTCACCCTGTTAGACGCGGTTCCCTTGGAACTCGATGAGCGCATGGGGGCTATGAGTATCGGTTTGGGACTCTGTTAGACCCAGGCTTGACCCCAACTCTGTGACCTGGGGTGGTTACCTCTGGGAGCCTCAGTTTCCCCACCTGTGAAATGGGGACGGTGATGACAGCTGCACTGTCAACGCACCGATACCAAAGCATTCTTGCTGTGCTTGGCACGTTATAAGTACTCGATAAATATTCTATTCTATTCTACTATTCTATTATAGTACGAGTGATGATGGTGATGATGATGATAGTAATAAATCTAAGAAAGCCGGTCTTATGACCTTTGCTTTTGCTCTTGCCAGGAGCTCATGTAGTCCTTAAGTTTCGGACCATGGGGTCCCTAAGGAAGACTGTCACTTTGGGTTAAGTCACTGAGCATATCTTTGGTTCCACATTCCAGCGCCGTTCCTTCCTGACACTGCATTAGACAGAGGGTGACGTGCTGCGTCTCATCCCAGTGTCAGCCCAGCCCGTGTCTGACTCTCCCTTTCCCCCTTCTGTTTAGTATGGAATCGTGCTCGACGCCGGGTCCTCCAGAACCACCGTCTACGTGTACCAGTGGCCCGCGGAGAAGGAGAACAATACCGGAGTGGTCACCCAGACCTACAAATGCAGTGTGAAAGGTAGGGCCCAGAGTGGCTCTGGGAGGCCCCGAGGGAAGCGAGGTCGAGTCCTGTGTCCTTCGGAGGCCTGGGGTGGTCGGTCCGAAGACGCTGCCTGGACTGGGTGTCCGGGAAACACGAGATCTTATGCTAGTGCTGCTACTTAGCGGTGACAGTGACCTTGGGTGAGTCACTGCCCTTCTCTGGGCCAGTTTTCTCATCTGCAACACGTGGAGGTTTGGAGGGCATGTCAAGAACTGTGAATGGTCTGAGATTTTGCCCTGCCCTTCTTTCATGGATGCTGGTGGAGACACAAGATTCCTGGGTCCGAAATAAAGGCTAGCCCTGGCCGGTGTGGCTCAGTGGGTTGAGCGTCATCTCACAGACCGAAAGGTCACCTGTTTGATTCCTGGTCACAGCACATGCCTGAGTTGCAGGCCAGGTCCCCATCTGGGGGCATGTGAGAGGAAACCAACTGATGTTTCTCTTGCACATCAATGTTTCTCTCTCTCTTTTTTCCCTCCCTTCCCTTTTCTCTAAAAATAAATAAGTAAAATCTAGGAAGGAAGGAAGGAAGGAAGGAAGGGAGGGAAGGAGGGGGGAGGGAGGGAGAGAGAGCGAAAGAAAAGAAAGAAAGAAAGAGAGAGAGAAAGGAAGAAAGAACAGTTTATTATTCACAGCAACAGCAGCAGCCGGAGTTTCAGCTGGTTTTGCTACGCTGGCTCTCCAAGGATGACGTAAGGAGGGCCGGGCAGGACCCACCCACGCGGTGGGTTGTGTTGCAGAAGAGAAACCGGAGATCAGGGAGTCTGAAACTTTCATAAAGGACACTGAGCGTGCCGTCCTTTTGCTCGGGCGTGCAGCCTTTCTCTGTCTTCGGAGCCTGTTTGCAGTGCAAACATCCTCGGCAAAAACGATCCAGAACAAAGCCAGTCAGTGCCTGTGCTCGTAAAACAAGCAGAAACACGAGAGGCTCACCGCACATTGTCTTCCGCAGGTGTGTGTGCGTGGGGGAGGGGTGCGCGGAGGGAGATGGATGACCCGGCAATGAATAGGGGACGCTCTGTCCCAGAACAGTTTCCTTACAGTCCCTGAAACTGTGAATTTCTTACAATTCTCGCGAGTCACAAGATACTCCCTATTCTTGTGTTCATTTCTCTGTCCACCATTTTCAAGTGTAGAAACTATCGTGGCTCACAGGCTGTACAAATAAAGGGGATGAACTTGATTTGGCCCGTGACCTGCCACGCCCTGAAACAGAACACAGTCAACATCGTTAATGACCCTCCGCACAGCTGCCTGCCTCCCCCACGACGCAGCCTGGACTTGACGTTAGCTGTTTCCTTGTTCTTCTTTATAGTTTTGTTCCTATGTGTTTAGTTTTTCCTGGTTTTGAAAATGAAGTTGAACTTGTATTCACTTACACAGGAATCAGACAGTTGTTCCTCTGTGATTTGCTTTGCTCGCCCACACGGGGTTTTAAGATTCATCTGTGTTGATATGAGTAGCAGTAGCTCATTCATTTTTCCCTGTTAATGGACACTTGTGCTTTCCTGGTTATTAATAAAGTGGAGTATCTTTTTGTATATTTATGACCCTTTCTGTTTTCTGGGAAATGCCTGTTCATGTCTTTTGCTCATTTTTCTACTCAGTTGCTTCGCTTTCTCGTATTGATTCATTGAAATTCTTTATACCTATTCCGACTATGAATGCTTTTCTGGCGTGGTTATTCGGTTGTTGCTAATATCATCTCACAGATCATGGGGTGTCTTTGTAGTCTCTTCATGATGCCTTTTGATGAATAGATATTCTTCATTCTTACGTAGGTGCATGTATCAACCATCTCCTTTATGGTTTTCTCTTTTGTATATTTCATTTAAGAAATTCTTCCCAGTCCTACGGTCATGAAGATATTCTTCTATCAGAAATTTTATCATGTTGCCTCTAGTTACGTGGTCAAGTCCAGTGAGTGCGTGTGTGTCTGTGTAAGCCTTTTCCAAAACCAGTCACTTCAGAGCACTCTGATCCTTGAGGTGGCCTGGAACTTCCCCATTCGCGTGCCCTGGATGGGTTACAGATATACTCACAGGATGACAGGTTCGAGACTCCGCACTAGTCCTCCTACTGCTAAGTATCTCCTTCGTGTCTCTCAATGAGCTGCTCAAATAGTCCCGTCTCTTGGGGGTCATGGCATTGAACCAGCTGAGAGGCAGACTTGGCCTTTCCCCGCAGTCTTCCTTTGAAGACCAGGGTGAAGTCTGCTCATCTGCCCTCCCCCGGAGGGCATCCTGGCACTCGTCTATCCTGATGCACAGGTGTTCCAGGTTAGGATTTCTGGAAGCAGGTGCTGAGTCAGAGGTAGGGATGTAAGGTCGTTAGTTACTGACCCACCTGGAGCAGGCGCAGGTGAGGAGAAGGAGCTGACATAAGGAGATGATGACGTGCAACGCAGGCCTGACACAGCTTCAGCCAGTCAGAGTCACCCTTTGTTGGGTGAAAATGGCCTGAAAGGGCAGCCCTGTCACCTCCAGTCATTGGATGTTGCTGTCCTGAAAAGAGCAAGACAGAGAGGTTTGCCTCTCTGTCGCTGAGGCAAACCCTGAGGCTGCCAGCGGCTGGGACAATGCGTCTTTATTTGACGGGTGTCTGTGTGGCACCTCTCTGGACTCATCCCAACAAGGAACTCAGGTGTTTTCTGAGTACTGCATGGCCACAGGTCCCAGGGAGCAGCAGCTTGCCAGAAATCCCGTCTCTGTTCTCCTGACGCCTGAGCTCTTCCTCAGCTCCGGGCAGGAAAGAGGGCACCAGGAGGCTTGTTTACAGGAGAGACCACCCTTTTCAAGAAGAGAGGAGAGCGTAGAATAGTGATTAAGACTTCACCTCATCCCTACTGCGTGAGCTCCGGGAAGTTATCTAACCTCTCTGAATCTTGACCCCTCCCCTCTAAAAGCCACGCCTAATAATAGTGACGCCTCTCCCATAGGAATGATTTGAAGATTAAATGACGGTGTATGTAAAGCAGGTAGCAAACGCCTGGCATACAGTAAGCACTCAATAAGTGTTAGCTACTATTAGTCATGGGGCACCACACTTTAGAGCTCCTTGGATATTCTCGCCATCAGGTTGCTCTGCTCCATACGTACAAGATCTGTTTAGACCCTGGAAAGCAATTTAGCCAAGTCGGTCCTGACGTGCCTGTGACCTGCAGGGAGACGTGAGATGTCCTTGAGAAGGAACACAGGCGGTCCCCCAGGGGTGGGGGCCCTCGGCCCACCCAGGATGTGACTTAGGGCAGGAGCAGGGTCACGGAGCCCACGCCACACCCACAAGGAGATCTCCCCTTCTTGGATCAGAGTAGCCTCCGTGAGCCATATTTACCCTGAATGACAAAGGACCACAAACTAAAGCTTAATGACAGAGCTGGAGTTCGGCTCAGTGTCATCCTCTCAAGGACATGTTGCTGCTCCAGGGATAATTTGGGTTTCTGGTTTCTCAATTGCAAATTTCCCCAGGCCTCCCCCATCCGTCCGAGTGGGGGCTGGATGCGTGCTTGCCCAGCGGTGTTTCCCAAACACACAGGCCCGCAGAACGTCATTTCTCGTGGGACTCCCTGGGGGTCTCCGTCCTCGGTGGTGGCTGCTCTTTTCCGGGAGTTCGCCAGGTGCTGGTCGCCGTGCAGGTGGCAGGAGCTCTGGCTGCTGGTTGGAAAGCCCTTCCCCGGTGGGCACTGGCCCCTGGACGCCCTCCTCTATTTTGCAGTGTGCAGAGCTCAGGCCGGCTGCTGCCTTTTCCCACGAGGGACATTCACATTTTCCCTTTACACCAGTGCTTAAAAATGCTTTAACTCTGCTGGAGCCTAAACGTAGTCATCTCTATCGAAACACCTTAATGAGCGGCCTCAAGGAGCAGGCCGCTTCCCTGTTGAAAGCATCCTTTACTTAGGCACATTTTTTAAAAGATTTTATTTATTTATTTTTACCATGGGGAAGGGAGGGAGAAAGAGGGGAGGTGAAACATCAATGTGTGGTTGCCTCTCGCGCGCCCCCTACTGGAGACCTGGTTTGCAACCCAAGCATGTGCCCTGACTGGGAATCGAACTGGCAACGCTTCAGTTCACAGGCTGGTGCTCAATCCACTAGGCCACACCAGCCAGGGCTGGAATAGCAGTTTTAACTCTCTGTTCTTGGGGTTGAGAATCTCACTATTCCATGAGCTTATGAACCCCACCTCTTTTTCACTCCAGGAGGCTTAAGGGACCTTGTGCAAACAGGCCCTTTGGTGACATATTGGGACATGCTAAGTGTTGACATTCTAGCAAGGCCCCTAAGCAGTCCCTATCCAGAGGCCAGCTCTAGCAGAATGGGTTTGGTTTGCTCCGGCTTGGCCTACACCATCCCCTTACTGTAGAGTTGTATTCTGATTTGAAAATCTCACTCTTTGAGTCAATTATTCATTATAAATATTTACTGGGAGGCTTCTGTTTGCCAGTAACATTTCTCAAGACTGGGACTTCTAAAATAAAGCATACAGTCACTGCTGTTATGGCACTTACACCCTAATGAAGGAGAGAGATGATGGATGAACCGATGTGCAGTACGCCAGGGAGAGTTCTGTGCAGAGAAAGGAAGCCAGGCAGGGGGGCGGGAAGAGTGACCAGCTATCTGAGACCTCATTGGGGAAGAGCAGAGAGGTGAGGGTTAAACAGGGGCACAAGGGAGAGGGTGAGCCCCGCAAAGAACGAAGGACGCCCTGAGCAGAAGGCAGGCCAAGCGGAAGGGCCAGGGGCGGGAGCGGCTCGGCACTGTCCAGGAAAAGCAAAGGGGCCCCTGTGCTGGGGCAGAAGGAGGAAGAGGAAGAGAGGAGAACCAAGAAGGAAGCTGTAGCCAGGCCAGCTCCTTCAGGGCCTGAGGTGCAGTAGGGCCTTGGCTTTTACTCAAATGAATTTTCTGCAAAGTGTATCTGGAAGCCATTAGGAGACTCTGATCAGGGAACTAACTCATTTTCAAGGGTCCATCTGTTGCTGTAGACACACAGGCAGGCTAAGATGAGGAGCAGGGAAACCAGGGCCATTAGAACAGTGCACGTGACAGATGATGTTATGAGCATGTGGCCCAGACCGGCACGTCTCAGCCCGAGGCGATTTCGCCCCCCAGGGAACATTTGGTAATGTCTGGGGACATTTTGGGTGGTCCCATCTGGGGTTGGCGGTGCTGCTGGCATCTAGTGGTAGAGGACAGAGATGCAGCTGAATGTCGCACAGTGCCCAGGACAGCCTCTGCGCAGAAGAGTCACCTGGCCCCACCTGTCAGCAGGGCTGAGAGGGAGACACTCTGACCTAGAATGCTTCCAGGGGATGTGGGGACAGGTGGTCACATTCGAGGGGCATTTGAAAGGAGAGTTGATGAGACTTTGCGACAGGTTGAACGTGAGGCATCTAGGTCGATGGTGCCTGAGCATCAGCTCCGACCTGAGTAGCTGTGGGTGACAGTACCACTTCCTGAGGGGGGGAGCCCGGGAGTGGCATCAGCCAGGGACATGGCAGGGAGTAAGGAATTTGGTTTTGGACATAGTGACTTGGAGGTGCCCATAAACCATGTACGTCAGGGCTGGTAAATTTTTCCCGTGGAGAGCTAAATGAGCAGCCCTGGCCCGATGGCTCAGTTGGTTGGAGCATCATCCTGTACACCCAAAGGCTGTGGGATCGATCCCTGGTCAGGGCACATGCTTAGGTTGCAGGTTTGATCCCCAGTTGGGGCACATATAGGAGGCAACTGATTGATGTTTCTCCCTCTCTCCCTTTGTATCTCTGTAAAATCAATAAACATACCCTCAGGTGAAGATGAAAAGAAGAGATCTAGGTGATACATATGTTTTTACCTGTAGGCCATAGGTCTCTGACATAACTATCTACCTTGGCTGCTTGAGCATGGAAGCAACCATAGCCAGTCAGGCAGACGAAAAATGATTTCAAGAAAGCTGTATTTCTGGACACTGTCCATGCTTAATGGGCTATACTCTAAGGACAAAAAGAGCTTTTTAAAAAAATCTTAAACTGTTTTCAGAGATCACCTGGTTGGTGGTAGCGCTGCTACTGTCATACTCAGACTTGTGTACGGATTGTGAGATAAAGCAAATGAGTTACTGAGTGGGAGCGCTACCACTTAGGATGGGTAGCAGAGAAAAAGCAGATAAAGATGTCAGAGCAGGCACATACCTGGGTTGCAGGCCATAACCCCCAGCAACCGCACATTGATGTTTCTCTCTCTCTATCTCCCTTCCTTCCCTCTCTAGAAATAAATAAATAAAATCTTTTAAAAAAGATGTCAGAGCAAAGAATTTAAGTAAAAACGTATAGTTCTGAATTAGAAGCCCCAATAAGAAATGCATGTCTTCTGCTCTTGAAATAAACTTTTCCCTGGGTCTGCCCTCTCAAAAAACATACAGTGAGCACCGCAGCTTCCAGATTTGGGCACTAAATACCATTGCCCAATAAAAGAAACCGGGACTCCTTGGAGAAATGGCTGAGTCCAGGTCTGAGGCAGGGAGTGTATAAGGCCGTTGATACGTCTTATCATATCAGAAAGCCAAAATGCTCTCAGAGTTTCTGGGATCGTGTCAAAAAGGTTCAGCGGCCAATTGAAGGAAGCTAATAAGAATAATAACTAATTAATCAAAACACATGAACTATATCTTGCAATGTGTGTGTTCCTAAGATAGAAAAACAAACAAAATCCCTGATTGGTTCCGTTAGGAAGATACGGGAGCTGCAAGTTCTATTTTTAAGCTGGTAAATAAAGGGACAGAATCAAGCCCGTCTCCTGCCTTCTCTGGACAAACCCAATGAGGGGGTAACCACGTGGCTAATGAGGGGGAAGTTTTTCTCTTGTTACAGCGTTTCAGGTGAAAAAGTGAAGCAAGAGAGGTGGAAGTAAAACATCCTCATTTATAGGCCCTCGCAGGCTAACGGTCCTAAGCGGTGACCATGGGTCCCTGCACCAGAAGAGAAGCGAGCTCACACTCCTGCCTCCTCTTACTGGGAGCGCACGCCGGCCCCCGTGAGCCCGTTTCTGAAAGAGTGTGAGCCCAACTCTGGTGAAGTCCTGGCACCCAGTTACCAACTTCCGGGAGAAAGCAGGACCAAGTATCAACATGTTCAGTGAGGCTTGGGGATTCAGCCAGCAAATTCCAGGCTGTGGGGAACGCTCCAGGACACATTAAGTTGGGAGGGGAAAAATATTGAATTACAAGGAAAAAATAGAAAGAGAGGGCAGAACCTATAGGTTAGAAGAGACTTAAGAAGTATACCAACCGATGGCAATGGATGGAATTTATCGGGACTCTAATTCAAAGAAACTAGATAGAAGGAGAGGGATGGAAGGTGGGAGAGGGAGAGAAAAAATATGGCCAGGGAGGAAATGTAAACCTCAACTAGATAATTGACTATATTGAAGGATCATTTTTTTAAAATTTATTTATTTTAGAGAGGGAAGGAAGGGAGAAAGAAAGTGAGAGAAACATCAATGTGCAGTTGCTGGGGGCCATGGCCTACAACCCAGGTATGTGCCCTGACTGGGAATCGAACCTGCGACGCTTTGGTTTGCAGCCCGAGCTCAATCCACTGAGTTACACCAGCCAGGGCTTATTGAAGGATCATTTTTAACTCTTAAAGGTATAATAACGGGATGGTGGTTGTGCGTCTTTCAAAGAATTGTTGCCTTTTAGTGCCACATACCGAAACACTGGCAGAACGAAATGACGCTGTGTCTGCAGCTTGCTCTGTGAGGACGGGGCGGGCAGGGTGCAGGGGGAGGACGAGGAGCTCGTTGTTGAAGCTGGGAGGTGGGGGCACGGGTTCCTTCTGTTATGCTCCTGACTTCTATTTGTATTTGAAATTTCCAAAATGAGAACTGTTTTTGCAAAAGTGCATTTATTAAGGCAGCGTGCTATGGGAAAAAGGATAGACTGAGGCTCGCTAGAAGATGAGGCCTGGGTATTTTTTAAATGAAATCTATTGACGTAACATGGGTTGGTAACTTTATATAGAAATTTCCGGTGTAAACCGTATAATTCAATATCTGTGTAGGCTATTGCATGCTTACCACCAAAGTCTAGTTTCCTTCCATCGCCATACATTTTACCCTTTTACCAATTGAAGGGCTTTTTCGAAGCAGGTTAATTTTTTTAAAGATTTTGTTTATTTATTTATTTTTAGAGAGAGGAAGGGAAAAGGAGAGGGAGAGAAACATCAATGTGTGGTTGCCTCTTGTGCGCCCCCTACTGGGCACCTAGCCTGCAACCCAGGCCTGTGCCCTGACTGGGAATTGAACTGGCGACCCTTTTGCAGGCTGGCACTCAATCCACTGAGCCACACCAGCCAGGGCGAAGCAGGTTAATTTTCTAACCTGACTTATTTTCTTTCATCTTTATAATTCCTTTCATCCATATTGTGGGAGTTGACTCATCAGTGTGACCACCTGGGACCTAACACACCCACCTGTTTTCAACGCCCCTCCTAAAACCTACTGATTTCCAAAGCCGATTGTTTGTTTTTTTTATGTGAAAGTTGTACTCCTCTTGTTGGCTCCCGGGGATGCTAAGAAGTCCTGACTGCTTGCTCTTCAGGCTCCGGGATCTCCAGCTACGGGAGTAACCCCCAAGAGGTCCCCAAAGCCTTCGAGGACTGCATGCAGAAAGTGAAGGAGCAGATTCCAGCCCACCTGCATAGATCCACGTGCGTTTACTTGGGGGCCACGGCCGGCATGCGCTTGCTGAGGTAAGGACGGGAAGGGCACACACAGGAGCCCCTCTGACCAAAATAGCCAAGAATGTGCCGGGCCTCGCCAAGAACGCAGCTCTCTATTCCTGGGAACCGACCCAAGAGGAAGAAAGCTCATATTCTGCCATAAATGTAGGCTTTCCACGGTGGGAAACTTTTCGTCGTTCTTTGCACACCCCCAGAGAAACAGTCCTGAAATCAATCCCCTGGCCAAGTTAGATGAGACCTCTGCTCCTGGGGGGGTTACCTCGAGTTGTTTAGAAAAGTAGAAACTGGTTTGGACACCTGGGATTTTGACATCTGTGCACAACCAGCCCCACCGAGTGCCTCCCGCAGCCGCATAGCTTGTACTCGTGTGCACACTGTCGCTGAAACGTGCTTTAAAAATCGTGGCATTTCTGCACCTCGCCGCATTCAAAGCCTGTGGAGTTACTGTGAAACAAACATCTCCCTTTTGGTCAAGTCAGCGGCGCCTTCTCAATGTGCAGCCGGGACTTTCAGGCTAGTGGCGTTGTCTCAACATGCCTTGATCGTCATTTTATTCTTGTGGTATTGTTTGACCTTGAAATAAAAGAAAAGTAGTTAAAAAAAAACCCATAGAACTGAAGTGTATCTATGGTAGAAGCTGCTCCACCCTTTAAAAATAAGGCTTTCTTCCCCCGTAATGACACTCCCTCCACTTGAAAGCCGCTTTTTCTGTGACCCCAGTAATGTGAGGTGACAGGTGTGGGCATGGAGAAAATGCAGAGGAACAGACAGCGCCCCTTTAATGTGATCATAATAATAATAATAATAATGGAGTTCTCTCCGCTGGACTGGGCCTTTTTCCTGCTGCTTCCCCACCCTTGTTCGGCTCCTGCGTCCCTGCTGACCAAGTAGAACTTGGAAGAAAGTCGGACTTCTCTGCTCACTCTTGGAAGCTGGCGCGTGTTTCAAAATGACTGAGTTTCCCTGAAATAGAAATGATACAGAAAGTCCTTCCCTCCGCCTTTTCTTCCTCCTGGAAACAAAGAACCCAACTTTTTCTTAGTTGCTTTTTCTCCTCCCAGTCCTCTGAGTGAGAAATGATTGTGAGACTCTGTTATTCGTAGCCCCGGACTAGCCCAGTGGGATAGAAAGTCAGCGCTCGGGGGAAAAAGTGAATGGATGTCCCATTTAAATAAATTATTACCTCCTCCTTGTAAAGCTTTCTGATGGGGATCCGTTTCTTCTGAGCATCCAGCTGATATTTAAATTGCTGGAAAGGTCAAATATTAAAAAAAAAAAACAATGAACGAGTATCATCCCCGACGAGAACCGATAACACTAGGAAGCCTCTGAATTACTTTCCACGCGTTGGTAGCTGGCTGCCAGACTGGCTTTCTGTATGTAGCGTTGCTGCTGCTGCTTCAGCCAAGACTGAGCCCATGCGCCTGGCATTCTCAACCCACGGACGAAAGGGAAATAACGTCCCAAGGGAGCTTTCCCCCGTGGGGCAAGATGGCGGCACGTGAATGGGAGAATGAAACCCCACGTCACGGGTGGTGTCAGACTGCTGTGTTGCCACCCTTCCGTCACGAGGAAGCTCTCCCAAAGAACGACGCAGGGACAGCTGGACACTCACCCCTCATCCCTTCCCCACCTTCCCCACCTCCTCATAAGCTCCCCTTCCTTCTGGCTAATGAGGGCTGCTTTTCAGGGTGGTGTCCCCGAGAGATTGCTCATGCCGCTCCTATGCCTGCCCCAGCCCCCTTTCCTCTGCTCAAATCAGCCAGAGCAGCGGGGGTTAAGCACAAGGCTCTTTTGATGAGTTGGTTGCTGGAGAGGGGGACGGGAACAGGTAGGGGAGGAGGGAACAAGTGGTGTTTTTACTGGGACCTGTTTTCCTGCTTGGCAGGCCGACAGGTGACAAGTGCACCCTGCCTTCCCTGCCACCCTGGAAGCCTCGGCCTGCTGAAGGGGCTGCCGTGTGTGGCGCACATCCGCAAATCGTCCCTGCCAGCCTCAGGGTCGGGAGGCTCACGTGTTCGCCTGGGGGAGACTGTTTTAAGGCTCTGCTGTCTGGGCACTCAGACTCTGGTGTTCTGTGCCTTGCATAGGTTGCAAAACGAAACGGCAGCTAACGAAGTCCTTGCGAGCATCCGAAACTACTTCCAGTCCCAGCCCTTTGATTTTAGGGGTGCTCAAATCATTTCTGGGCAAGAGGAAGGGATATATGGATGGATTACAGCCAACTATTTAATGGGAAATTTCCTGGAGGTGCGTGCAAACAGATGCATGGTTTTTATTCTTGCTATTCGTCCCTTCCCCTGTGGGTGGCAGCTTCAGCAGAGGTGCGGCCAACAGGGACACCTGTCCTGTGCCATCCCTGGTGTGTAATGCATTCGGGAAACACCCGGGAGACAATCGCTAAGAAAAGACACAGACAGCCGGTGCCAAACCTTGGACCCTAAGCAGAAGCAAATGCACAGGGCAGAGGGAATATCACTTGACGAGCTGATGAGATATTGGGGGAGGGGGAATGGGAATCCAATGATGGGCGATGGGTAATCTGAAGGGCAGCTGGAGAATGACTCTTCTAAGATGTCCCCGAGCCACCTGGAATTCACAGAGCCTTCAGGCAGTCTGCCTCCCCAGGTCTCGGTCCCCAGGTCTCCTTACACGGCAGTCCCCACACTCCCTTCTCCTTTGGCACAGAGGAAGGCTGACTCCAAGGGACAATCGCCCTGTTCCAGGGGGCATACACTGAGGACACTCCCCGCATCTCCAGCCCAACATCGATTCTGTTCCTCCTCAAATATATTTTTTAAATTTTCATAATTGCCAACACTTAATATTTTAGAAATTTCACAGTTCCAGCTTCTCCTGACCTCACCCCCACAAACACTAGAAGTGCTGGCCACAGGGGACTCACATTCCTGCATAACAACAACCAACTGGAACAGAACGTAGCACATGCACTCCCCGGTTTGCCACAGTCCCCACCATTCCCTATTGTCTACACCTAATCTACTTGGCTCAGGAGTACTGCCCAGCCCCTGTAAGCATTTCAGCTCAGCACCCCTGACACGGAGGAGAGGTGTGGCCTCGAATGCTTCCCAAATGTCCTAGTTCGTAGCAGGAAGAGACGGGTCTTGGGTGGAACACCCTGGGCAAACCGAAATGGCGTCTTTGGCCTTTCTTCTTGCTTCCTTCTCCCACTGTGCAGAAGGACCTGTGGCATATGTGGGTGCGTCCCAACGGAGTGGAGACCACGGGCGCCCTGGATCTAGGCGGCGCCTCCACCCAGATATCCTTCGCCGTGGGAGAGGCGGTGGAGCGGAACACCAGTGACATTGTGCGCGTGTCCCTGTACGGCTACGTGTACGCACTCTACACGCGCAGCTTCCAGTGCTATGGCCGCAACGAGGCTGAGAAGAGGTTTCTGGCAATGCTCCTTCAGGTACCTGAGCCGGGGGGAGCAGGTGTTTCCTTGGGGGTCTTAGCTGAGGGCAGGGTGCCCCGCCTTCCGGGGTCTGTCCTTTCCAATCCACTTAGAAAGTGGATGAAAACAACAGCGTTTTCAGGTTCGTTTGCATGCCCTCTCTCTGCTGCGTTCGACCACTTCCAGTGTATCTGAGTCCGAATTCCGAGGAAATTCCAGAGCTCCAGATGTTTCGTAAACACGATTCAAGTCCCAGGATCCCTTTATGGGCACAAGCCATTTTAAGCCCGTAGCTAAATAAGCCTGAGAATCTTGAGACTCCCCCGTGTTCAGACAAAATAACCACAGCGCCCATGAGAGACATGCTTGCCGTCCCCAGGCTCGGCCTGCTGGTGGATGGGCCTATATTAGGCAGGCTCCATCCCTTTATATGGTGGGACGTGGGAGCCACTGAATTCCATCATGTCAGACGGTGGTTCACACGGTAGCTGTTCCCCGGCCCAGATGGCTGCTTCAGGCATCAGCTCTGCGGCTGGCGCTGCTCTAAGCTCAGTGTGGTGCAGAGTGTGTCTGCGAGTGCTAGCTCCTCGAAGGCCGCCCCGGCCCCAAGCTCCAGTGCTCCGAGGACACCCACCTCACCATGGCTGAGAAGGGACGTTGAAGGGAAGGGGCCTTCACCACCCAGAGCGGCGTGAGGCCAGCCAGAAGCCCCAGATCCTGGCTTCTGACGGGAGGGACACTGCCGCCTCTCTGACCTCCCTTGGTTACTAAGGAAGGGGGCAGCATTCCCCCAACACGGGCCTGCGCTAACACTGGGCGGACTCACAGACGTGGGGTCAGCAGACTGTCCAGACCCACGTGTCATGCAGGGCGGGGCGTGAGGATTCAGCCTCCAGCTCCGGTCCACCCCCCACAGTTCTCTCCCAGCCTTGCACAGGACAGGCTGGGGCCTCAGGACACCTGCACATGACAGGTACAGGCGGGAGTGGCTGAGCACTGCCCGGAGGACCGAGCGGAAGACCCCACAGGCAGCCTTCAGCTACTCCTCACTGCTCCGGAGACTCGGGGCCCACCCCAGACTCTCGCCTTCCCGTGCTCCCAGCCAAACCAGCCCCAAGGGACCCCAATCCATTCTCCCCAGCAGCGAGGCTTCCAGCACCACCTTTCCTGTCCGCTGGCTCATCAAAGTATTTTAGCCGACACACCTCCTTCCAGGAGAGAAGCTCTAGGAAACCCTCTTTTCTCTACCTCCTTTTATCTCTGGCAATGGTTGATGCTCCAGTGCTTGGCCCTGGGGGTTGGGGGTGGGGTGCACGTGGACGAGGAAGGAGGCACCTGGGAACTCCAGCAGGAGAGACAGGTGAAATCTTCCTTCTCCCGGGGTGAGTGGGGGTCAGAGACTCTAACCTTTTAAATTTGGCTGGCCCCGAGTATCATACTCCACCCATCTGATCTCCTTTGGCTTTGAAACCACAAGTATCCAGGTGTGAGGCCAGGACTGGGAGCAGAGTCATGAGACTCCAGTCTCTCCCTGTGGACAGTCAGCTCACCGGGACGGGCCATCTCTCCCATGTGCCTGGTGACCTCTAGATGCCCAAGAGGGTGGCTGTGCCCTGGGTGCCTTCTGACTCTGTGAGGGAAAGGACTGAGGGGTGACGAGGATCACCCACAAGCACACGCCCAGGGCTGCCTGGCCAATACCTCCATGATCCAGATCCGCACTGGCAAGACCGACCTAGATGGTTCACGCAGATGATTACATCGTGAACACTGGCGGAGTCAGTGCCCCCTGCCTGGGTTCCGTCTCCTCTTCTGTAACAGCAGGGTCTGCACCGTGTGGTGAGGACACCTGGATAGATATGTCGCCAATTATCCACTTATTAACAAGCCTCCAGCCACCCCAGGGCTCCCGCCTCACTCTGGTAGCACGGGAGACACTAGGGACAGGCTTTCGCTTTCTCTCTTTCCTTCCTTCAGTAAGATTTTTTTCCTTTTGTTTTTAAAGTAATATGTGTTCAGTATTTTACTTCCGTCAAGATTTTCCTGCAGCGAAAACAAGATGATTTAATGGCTTTGCCATCAGAGTTCAAATCCTGTTCCATTGAAAGGAAAGTTTATAAACAGAACCACATACACTTAGGAATGTAGCACAAGATAAAGGGAACATTATTTTTTTTCACCAGTAAGTAAAAGATTAGATAGTCATCGGGGACAAATAAAGTGGGCTCTCTACCACAATCTGTAGACCAAATAAGTCACAAACAGATCAGAGATTTATATGTAAGAAGGATGTTTGTTGCAGTGTTGTTTGTAATGGCGGAATGACTGGTAACCACATAAGTTTCCATCCAGAGGGAATTTCTTAAATAAATCACAGTTGATTTGCACAGGGAAGTTCTATGCAGCTATTAAAAAGAAGAGGCTGTCTAGTCGGAGAATAAACGGAAAGATATCAGAGATGGATTTTTAAGTAAGAAAAACAAGGGGCAGAACAGTGTGTAGAGTCCTACCACGTATGGTTTTTGAAAAAGAGCCAAGAAAAGAGCACACACATTTGCATATGCATACGAGCAGCACAGACAAAATCTCTGGTAGAACACACAAAAACTGGCAACAGAGGCCACTTCTGGCGGGGTTGGGGGGATCCCGTGAGTGGGAGGGGTGAGGGGGAGGCAACTTTCACAATGTGTCCATGTGTCCCCTTTGGGCTATTTTGTCAGGTGGACAGATAGCACTCCATTCCAAATGGCCGGTTCCGCTCAGCATCCCTTGTTTTCTCATCGAAATGTTTTCTCATTCTCATAAAACCTGCGTCATGGCGCTGTCCTAGGGGCCAGGTCAGGTCCTGGGGACGAGAGCCTGGCCTGTGCCTGGTGCAGGTCACCGTCCCCCCCACCCCACTGCCGCTTGAGTTGTTTAGACAACTTGGGAGTCGCCTTCAAGTACCCACTGACCGAGAACGGCATGTTTTCCATTTCGCCCTTAGCATTAGAGAGTAGCAGTTACGAGAAATCGAAAAAAAAAAGTATTTGGTCCTTCACAAATTAGAAAGAGTAATTTCTAATAGCTCACCCTTTTCTTTTTTAAAAGATTGTATTTTTTTTTTTTGCCCTGGCTGGCGTAGCTCAGTGGATTGAGCGTGGGCTGCGAACCAGTGTCACAGGTTCCAAACCAGTGTCACAGGTTCGATTCCCAGTCAGGGCACATACCTGGGTTGCAGGCCACGGCCCGCAGCAACCACACATTGATGTTTCTCTCTCTCTCTCTCTCTTTCTCCCTCTCTAAAAATAAAAAAAAATAGATACAATCTTTTAAAAAAGATTTTATTTACTTTTAGAGAGAAGGGAAGAGAGGGAGAGAAACATTGATCAGTTGCTTCTCCTACATCCCTGGCTGGGAATCAAACCGGTGACCTTTGGCTCTGCAGGACGACGCTCCAGCAGCTGAGCCACGCCAGGCAGGGCTCTAACAGCTCCCTGTTGTCCCTACAGAATTCTACCACCAAAACCAACGTCATCAACCCCTGCTACCCTCGGGATTATTCCACCTCCCTCTCGGGGGGCCGCATATTTGACAGCCCGTGCACAGAGGATCTGAAGCCCGGAAGTTATGACCCCAACGACACCATCGCTTTCGAAGGAACCGGGGACCCGTTGCTGTGTAGGGTGAAGGTGGCTTCCCTGTTTGCCTTCAAAGCTTGCCATGGGCGAGAAGTCAGCTGCTTTGATGGTATTCAGCCGGGAGTTAAAGGATCTTTCGTGGTAAGAGCAAAAACCACGGAGAGACTACCTTTTCGTCCCATTGAGTATATATTTCTCGGCTTTCTGTTTCTCTTCTGCTGACCTGTTTCCCCACGTCTGATTCCCGGCCCTGCAACCCCCACCGTCGGTCCCGCTCTGAGAGCTGATGCCCTTCCGTTCTGCCTCCTCCCAGGCCTTTGCCGGCTTCTTCTACACAGCCAGCGCTCTGAACCTCACGGGCAGCTTTTCCCTGAACACCTTCAACTCCAGCACCTGGGATTTCTGCTCGCAGAGTTGGGGTCAGGTCAGTATTAAAGAGAAAGGGTCAGTAGCAGTGCAAGACGGCAGTGTGGAGTATATTCCATTTGCACACACACGCACGCACGTGTGTTCTGGATTTCGCCTTTCTGCTGTTCTGCTCCGAACCCCATGAAGTGGAAGCATGAGGGACCCACACCCACGGCCCGGATGAATGTCTGACCACAGGCGCAGTGGTGAGAACGGTGTCCGGCACACGATACGCACTCTGTAAACTGAGAGACTGTTCTTACATGACGTTGGGGAGGGATATTTTCAATATTATGTAGCTGCATTATTTTATCGTACTTTTATTATGAGATTCTGGGTGGCACGACTCTTTCAAACAGGGCTGTTGACCTGCGGTGTTCCGAAATGTGCGTTTTCCAACCTGCCTGCCTGCCCTCCCCTCCCCCCCCCCCAGCTCCCGCAGCTGCTGCCCCGGTTCGACGAAGTGTACGCCCGCTCCTACTGCTTCTCCGCCCACTACATCTACCACTTGCTCGTGAGCGGGTACCAATTCACCGAGGACACCTGGCCGCAGATACATTTTAAAAAAGAAGTAAGTCGGAGCACAGATCTTTTCCTCCTCTTCCTCTCAAAAGTGAGGTTGGCGTGGGTGCGTGTGCAAGATGAGCCTGACCCGTTGGAAGCTTCCCGGGAGAGGTGGTGGGGAGTCCAGAGGAGGTGGTGCCCGCAGACCCTTCCCCACGAGGAAAGGGTTGGAAGCTAGGACCCCGGGGCTCTGAGTTCTGTGCCGGCAGGACTGCTGCCCTCACCCCCACATTCCTGAGCATTCAGCACTGGGCCAAGGACCTGGGTGATGCTTAGTGAGTGTTTGTTGAGTGAATAAACAGATGAAGGATTTGAGACTTTTCATCCCCGAAAGAAGCTTCAAATAGAACCATGTTAAGAGAACAAGGAAGATAGTAACTAATTGCCCTCCATTTACGCAGTGTCGGCCTAGGAGACCAGCTCTAGAGCCTGGGGGATTAACTAAGAATTTTCTCCCGGAAGGAGCCTGAGGCACCGTATTTACTGTCCAGTGTCCGCGATGGGCCACAGCTGGAATCACAGCTGTCCCCCAGGTGACTGGTGACGGGCCCAGGTCCCCACTTTCAGGCTGGGTCAGCCCTGCAGACCCACGCATCCAGCACTGTGTTCCCTGGGTCTGGGGGCGTGGTCTGGTTTCCGGAACAGCAAGTGGGAAGCCTGGAGATGTCTGGGGTCAGTCTGTTCAGCATCACCTCTGGCGGTAATTAGGTTGAACCCATCAACACCCGACATTAGCCTGTGACTGTCTTTTGCATAAATAAATCGGATCACGGACAAGGAAAGAAGATGTCTGGAGACATATCGGGACTGTTGGTGGCATGTCCTCTCCAGGCTTCACCCCGTGATCTAATCACTAGAAAAGTGCATTGTGGGAATGGAGAGAGACTTTCCATTGAATACCAGCCTGGACATAACAGACTTCTAGGTTTCAGGGTCCTTTCCTTTATTCGTGAAGAATTTTCTCTCCAGCCAAATTGCTATGCAAATGCGAGGGCACAAAAAGACTTCAGGAGATGTGCTGCACAAAGACTGAATGTCAAAGTTGTTTTTGGAGGAGGTACTTCAATGAGAATAGAAATAAACCCAGGAGACGTTATAAAAACACATGAAGGAAGAATAAATGATGTTGTGGCTTAACATGTATATTTTTTTAAAGGAAAACTAAGAACCCCCCCCCCCGCCAAAAGGTGAGAGAAGAATACATCGATACACCAGAATAATCCAGAATTCAACTATAGCCCATGTCCAATGTGATGGGGACAGGTAGGACACAGGACAGAGGACACAGGGACATAAGAGTGGCCAAAACTGCTCACTTTTAAAAGGAACACACACACACACAATTTTTAAGACAAGAAAGGAAAAATAAATATAGGAAGAGAACACTAATTAAAAATTTAAAACTAAGATATTAGAAGTCCAAATATATTGCTAATCACAATAATCATAAATGGACTAAATCTACCAGTTAAGAAACAAACAGTGTCCAGACTGGGTTTAAAAAAATCAAGTCGTGGTTTGCAAGAGAAACCCTTTAAAGAAATACTTAGGCTTTTCACACAAGGACACAGAAAGATGGAAAGTTAAAAAAAAACTTTTTAAAATGTCAGACAAGCTTCACCCAAAAGAAAACTGGCGTAGCTCTTTAATATCTGGGAAAAAAATAGTCTTGAAGGTAAAGAGCATCATTCAGGAGAGAGAGGATTACAATATAACGCTGAAAAGTTCAGTTCATCATTCAAATTGCAAATTTGAAATACTTATCCATCTCATAAAACAACCTAAAAATGCGTAAACAAGAATGCATGGCACTAGCAGAAGAAACTGACAGAGCCAGTTTCTTAGAAACCAGTCCTTGGTTCAGTAAACGTGCATTACCCTGTTCCTGCAGCTGCCGACACTTCCGTACCCCTGACAATAGAAAAGCTTTCACTGTTGCGAACTGTGCCCTCATCACACTTGGCTGTGACAAGCTTGTGAGGGGTAGTTCTGACTTTCTCCGCAGGGCTGGAGGGAGGCTCTCTCGACCCTTTGGGGTCCCAGAGACCTGGATTCTAGCCCAGCCTGCCATGTCTGAACTTGGGCAAGACCTTTGACCTCCTTTCCTGTGTGTGTTCCATGCTGGTGACAGTGGTGGGCCCAGGTATGTTATTCCCACCCTGTCCCCGGCCCCAGGAGCTGAGCTACCTTTTGTCCTTCGCAGGTGGAAAACAGCAGCATAGCCTGGTCTCTGGGCTACATGCTCAGCCTGACCAACCAGATCCCGGCTGAAATGCCCCTGGTCCGCCTGCCCCTGAAGCCACCAACCTTCATGAGCACCATGGCCTTCTTCACGGGGGTGGCCTTGCTGAGCCTGACCTTCCTGGTGGTGTACCTGTACATGTCGTCCAGGAAACAGCGGCGCTCCCAGCATGTCTTGGACCACACGGTGGATTCCGAGTGAGCCTCGAGAAGCAGCTTCCGGAACCGGAGGGCCACCCAGACCCAGCCTGGGCGGCACCAGATAGTGCAAGTGAAATGCCTGTCTGCGGGGAACACAGCCGAAGTCAAGTACTTAGGTCGTGTGCCCCCTCAGATACCGATTGATGCCAAAGCACCTCCTGGGGAGTCCCTCAACTGCTCTGTGCACCTTGCTCCTCCAGGGACGCCGCCCTCCGCTCGCTGGCCGCCTGGGAACAGAGAAGACAGGCCATCACGGTCAGGCTCTTCTTTCCAGTGCCCAAGAGGGAAAGTAAGCCGAGCCTAAGACAGTTGGATGCTGAAGAGCTGACCTCAGGGCTCCTTCTGCACTCTGTTCGTCCTCGGACGCGCTGTATTCCTCCCGGCGAGTCTGGGAGCTGCCAGACACCCACGCAGCATTGGACCCAACCCTGTATCTCGTGTTGTGGCTTTCTCCCGTCTGTCCTTAACCGAGACTTTCCTCCAGCAATCCCATCCACCTGGCGCTCCCTCAGATCGTAGGACACAGTCTTCGGGAGAGAGGACGCCTCTACGCCAAAGGACGGTGGCCACGGCCAGCTTCTGTCACGCAGGCAGAACCTGAAGGACAGACGCACAGCAGGTCTCCCAGAAAACTCCTGGCCATTTTCAAAGTGGGGTTCCCACTCACGCCGCTGGTCATTTGATCGCAGCTGAAGTGTGTAGCACTTTCTTCACCTCCCTTTCACATTGCTTCTGTTGTCCCAGGAAACGTTTACTCCTGGCGAGGGCGTGGCACCCCAGCCATCCTTGGCTGGGCTTTTGTCCCCAGCCATCCTTCCGTTGTTAGCATGGGTATGCATTTTGTCCACCGTCCCCACAGGTATACTTGATGCTGTCACAACACCTCCTGCTCCAGGGTCTGCCTACCAGTTACTCACCTGCGTGGGGTAGACCGTGCTGCGTCATAACCATAGTTCTTGACTTTGGGGAAAGGAAAGGAAGCTGCAGGGACGTTTAACGCTGAAGTGGGGTGAGAAAGAACTCCAGCATGTCCAATGGCTACCAAGTAAAAATCAACATGCTTTCAGATTGTTGTTTGGGAGCTTGATGTGGAATAAAGGACTTGTTTTATTTTGACTGGTGGCGTGTGTGTGTGTTATCTTGCATATGGTACTCTTTCTCGGTGGTATTCATAGGAAGAAGCTTTAAAAATGAAGAACATTTTCTTAAGAAACTTTCCTGGTAAATTAAGAAAATGAGGCACGAATATCACCTTGATTCCAGAGAGTTCAAAGGGCTTCACTCTGATAAACCTTTGGCTCCTCAGGATAACTGGCGTCCAACGTTTCTTTGCCTTATTTGGCAGCGACACTTCTGTGGGGCCACAGCCTGCCATTCTGGTCTTGATCCTCCCCACACAGGCTGCACCCGTCCCATGATGCACTCTTGCTCACACAGTTCTCCCTGCCTAGGCCGTGGGTCATCCTTGCACCCATCCAAACAATGCACATTTCTCGAGGCCCAGTTCTAACTCTACTTCTCTAAACACACACACACACACACACACACACACACACACACTATAGTGTACCTCCTGGACTACCTTTTCAAAACTAATCACATTGTAAATTCTTATATCATTATTTATCTTTGTGTGTGCATATGGCTTGTTTCTAAGAGAGACAGAAGGCTGCTTAAGACCCAAGCCTGCCATTTATCACTTACTCAATTAACAGACACCTAAGAAACACCTACTGTGGGCCTAACGTTTTGCCCCGTGTGGTCTTGGATTTGGGTGAGGGCTATGAATGTTTTGCATACTCAACATACTGCTTGACTGGTATCGTTTCCATAAAGGACGAAGGGTGGGCAATAAACTTTGGAGCTCTCCGACAAGAACAGCATCCAGATCACCAAGAGCCCACGGGAACACAAGGGTGTGTCTGCACAGCAAGGAGGGCCAGGGTGTCCTGGAGGCAAGTCGTCGTGGGCGTTTCCAGCCCGTGTGGGGATTTGGGATAAGCTAATGAAGAATCTGGGGCTTTCTGATGTTTATCAGAGACTCTTTTGGTTGTGTTGTGTTGTGTTTTTTTTCCCTTATCAAAGAATCTTAACAGAGGGACCACCACCGAATCTTCAGGCCAAGTGACGTGTCTAGGAGGCAGAATCGAAGGTGGCCCCCATGCTATTCACTCTCCGGTGTCACTCCCAGGAGTAGGTTGTCACAGGAGGACATGAGGGATTTGAGGACATGAGGTGTAACTACTAATCAGTCGACCTTAACATGGAGAGATCACCGAGGTGCGCTTACCCTGGTCAGATGAGGTCTTTCAAGGCAGAGAATATTTCCCCCAGAACGGCTGGTCATAGTCAAGACATGAGAAGGCTTTGACTGCTGTTAGCTTGAAGAGGGAGCGAGCCAGGTGGGAATAGCCCGAGAGCATTGCCTAGGAACTAAGAGCAACCCCTGGTTGACAGCCAGCAAGAACCTGGGACCTCAGTCCAGCAACTACACGAAACTGGGGTCAGCCAACGACCGGAAGGAACTTGGAAGCAGACCACCCCGGAACCTCCGGGCGAGAGCTCCGCCCAGTTAACACGCTGATTTCAGCCTCGTGGACCCCGAGCAGGGAACCCAGGTGAGCCCACCTGGACTCGGACTTACAAAACTGCTAGGTAGTAAACGGGATTTGTGCAGGCCACCAGGTTTGTGGCAATTTGTTAAACGGCAATAGGGAATTAATACAACTACAGAGTCCCAAGCCCCAAGGCTCTCGCCAGAGCCAGTGCTTATGCATGAAATTTGTGGTGAAGGGGAAAGTGATTAGGTATCACAAATTGTGCCCGTTCTTTACGATAACCATGCAAGAAAAGCATGGGATTAGAGGTAAAATAACATGCCAACACCATCCAGCTAGTAAGCGGTTTCGGAGAAGGAGATTGTGAGTTGAGATTCTGACCTGTGTGAGTTTAAAACCCTTATGTTTACCCTATTTCCTCTCACAGCGAAAGGCAGTACTGGGGCAGTCAGGAGTTGGGCCTTAGAATTTCCTAGTCCAACATAGTCGCCTGATTTATGACGCAGAGGTGTCACATCAGAGCAGTGAGAAAAAATGGGGGGACACCTGGATTTCCATGTGGATACAAGGAAGTTCAACCCTCCCTCATACCATTTTCAAAAATATTTCCAGGTATGAATGATCAACCAGTAAAGGTTTGGGGATAAAGTGTAAGGGAAACATTTTAAGATCTTGAGTAAAGAAAGGGTTTCCTAAGCACTACACACACACAAAAGCCTTCACCGTAAGAGAATACTTGATATGTTTGATTACATTAAAGTTAACTTCTGTTTATCAAAAAACACCATTACAGCCCTGGCTGGCATAGCTCAGTGGATTGAATGTGGGCTGCAAACCAAAGTGTCGCAGGTTCGATTCCCAGTCAGGGTACATGCCTGGGTTGCAGGCCATGACCCCCAGCAACCGCACGTTGATGTTTCTCTCTCTATCTCCCTCCCTTCCCTCTCTAAAAATAAATAAATAAAATCTTAAAAAAAAAACATTAAAAGAGTGAAAAGACAAGCCACAGAGTGGAGGAAGGTATTTGCAACATAAATGACCAATAAAGGACTAGTTTTTAAATTACATGAAGAATTTCTACAAATCAGTGAGAAAAAAGCAGATGATCCAATTTTTTCCAAACAGACAAAAGGCTTGACAAGGCTCTGTACAAAAGGAGAAATGTTCCATAAATAAGAAAGTGTGCTTAGTCTTACCAAGTATGCCCGGGCAATGCCTACGAAAACTACAATGAGTTAACACCAGGTAAATTAAGGCAGCCACCCTGGGAAACTGTGGTATGGTCTGCAAAGTTGAAGATATGCTTCCCCAATGATCCAGAAATTCCAGAGCAAGGAATATGCCTTAGAGAACATGTCTAAGGTATGTGCATGTGTATACACCAGGATACATGCCTGAGAATATTCTTACTGGCAACCAACATGCCAATCCCATAAAATGAAAGAATAAACAGTGATATATCTGTAAGGGAAACTACCACACAGCCTGAAGACAAAAGAACTACAAATATATGTTCAATATGGATGAATCTTACAAACATAGGGTAATAAGTCACAAAAGATATATAATATATACTAAAAGATATATTATATATAAAGTATATATATAATTCTATTTATATAAAGGTCAAAAACAGGCCAAACTAAACACAGAAGATAAACTCTGAAGAAAATCAAGAAAATTATTACTGTTACATTTGGGGGGAAATAGAGGTTGTGTTTGGAAAGGGATAAACAGAAGTCTCAGTCTGCTAGGGCCACCATAACAAAATACCAGAGACCGGATGGCTTGACCAACAGAAATCTAACTTCTCAGAGTTCTGGAAGCTGGGAAGTCCAAGATCGAGGTGCCAGCCAGTTCAGTTCCCGGTGAGCACTCTCTTTCTGGCTCGCAGGCAGCTGCTTTCTCACTGAGTCCTCGCATGGTCTTGCCTCTGTGCTTGTGCAGAGAGAGGGAGCTCTCTGGTGTCCTTTTAAAAAGGGTAGTAATCCTGTCGTGATTACTGGGCACCGCCTCACGACCCCAGCTGACCTGAATTACCTCTGAAAAGCCCCATACCCCAAATGCCATCGAGTTGGGGGCTAGGACTTTTTTTTTTTGAAGAGAGAGAGAGAGAAACATCAATGTGTGGTTGCCTCTCGCGTGGCCCCCACTGGAGATGTGGCCTGCAACCCAGGCATGTGCCCTGACTGGGAATCGAACCTGCGATGCTTTGGTTCACAGCCCAGGCTCAATCCACTGAGTCACGCCAGCCAGGGCGGGGTTAGGACTTTTAACAAATGAATACCAAGGGCACACAGACATTCAGTCCATAGTAATAGGGTTTCTGGGGTGAAGGGGATGTTCTAGAACTAGCTAGTAGTTACAGGGGTTCTCTTTTCTGAACCATTTATGCACTTCCTATATGTCCTATAAGACCCTTAAAAAATAAAATTATAGAACTGGATTAACTCAAGAATTTTCTATTTGCTACCTCTATGATCTCATAAAGTCTTTCAACCTCTTTGAGCCTTTATTTCTTCATGCATGACATGGGAATAATAGCTACCTCATGGGAGAGTTGAGAAAAGAGAAATGTTCTTAGTCAATGTCTGGCATAGAGTATATCCAATGAATACAAGTTTTAAAACACATTTATTTCATCCGTTTACTTATTCATTCATTCATTCACTCATCATACATTTGCCAGTGTACTATATGCTAAATAAGTCCTGGGCTGAGTTCAGACTGAGGTTAGAAGAGAAATGAGACAAATTATCTTTCCTCTTGAAACACGTGAGACGTGAGAGCCCTCTGCTGGAGCCTCGGAGAAAATCTTTCCCACATCAGGACCCTTTTTCTTTTCTCCCTAACTAAAGATGCTGAGAAAAAAATTATTAGCCCAAAAATATTTTTCATATTATCAAATTATGAATCAATTGGAAATTTGAACACTTGATGGGATCAAGGATTGCTGTTAATTTTGGGGGGGTCAAACAATGGTCTTATGAAAATTTTTTTCAAGAATCCTTACCATTTAGACAGATGCCCAACTATTTCCAGGTGAAATGACATATCTGGTATAGCAGTCAGGGTTTAACCAGAGGCATAGAACCAGTAGGAGATATGTGTTAAGAGATTGCTTTTGCAACAAATCCCTTATGTGACTGTCGGGGCTGGACAGGCAAGTCTGAAATGCACAGAGCAGGCTGTCCCAAGGGCAGGCTGCAGCCCTGGGCTTGAGCCGTAGCCACTGTCCACAGGTGGGACTTCTTTCTCGGGGAGGTCTGGGTTGGCTCTGCTCTTAAGGTCTTTCAACTGATTTAGTGAAGCTCGCTAAGATTACTCGGGATAATTTCCCTTAAAAACAACTGATTATGGGCTTTAATCACATCTGCAAAATACCTTAACATTTGGATTAATGAGTAACTGGATATTGTAGCCTAGTCACGTTGACATATGAAGTTGACCATGACATCTGTGAATTGATTCGAAATGACACGGAAAGGAGAATGCGGAGGGGACAGGAGTAGCCAGTCCTCTCAGTGGTTGGACCAGCAGGCTGGGTGGGCGTCCTGG